TGCAAAGGCGTACCTTTGCATATTTGACGTCTGCCAGGTAAAGAAATGAATGCTGTTTGTCTAATTAAAACCGCTGTTTCGGCTGAATTTATTAAAGAATGTAGAAAACTTTATTATTTTATTTATTAAAATAAATTAAAATATATTAGGTGCATGTAACCAGAGTTAGTAAACTAATTGCGAAACTATTCCAAAGTCATAGGTGGCGCTGATCGCAGGCGGTAAAATTTGTATTCGAACTGGATACTAGAAATCAATTCGACAGTAAAAAATTAATAAATTGCTAAGTTTTTGTAATTAATTCATGAAAATTTATAGCTGCACAGCAAAGTTGGAATTATAGGCAACATTCTTATAGGATGTTTAATTTAATAATTAATACTTACATGAGCGATAGGTTTTGTATTCCCTGTAATAAATCAGATTACTATAGAAAAGTATTTTTGTTGCATAATATTATTATTTTGTAACAAATATAAATTAGCATAGGGAAGCGTAAAGAATAAATTTTTTTATTAAGAAACTTTATTTATAATTGTGTATTTACAATGTTTTCATAGGCGAAAAATGAATACAAAATAAAAAATTATATTGAAAAAAAACTATCAAAGAACCATGGACGGGAATCGAACTACGTTCCTCCAGTATAGAAATTATCGATCGTCACCGTTATGCTATAACTTGATTGTGAACAAAGTTCAAGTAAATGCATAATAGTGTACGTAATCAAACTTTAATTGCAAATGTCTCTAAAACTATTGAGTAGTTGCGGCTATAATGATATATTTTCTTAAACTGCATTTCCATTTCTACAAACTTGCAAGATTTTAACTAAATCGGTGACCCGAAGGACTTGCACTCTCTTTCTTAGAGTAATACATGAATATGTATTTTGCGTTAATGGCAGCTATTTTTAAGCGATAAAAATTCGTAACATTTTTTTTATCTTTATACGATAAGCTTATTTTTGTTCCATTCGATGATAGTAGTTTATAAGAAACGTTCATTTGATTCACAGTTTCATATTGCTAGATTGCGGTAGACGCCCTCTATTTATTGTTTTAACATACGAATTCTAAGTACTTCCATTCCGTGTGAGACAAAGTAGTTGATGTTTTAACGGTTGAAGTAATTTTTGTACTGTAGAATCTATTATATATTTGATATTCTTTTTTATAATCTTCAAAATAATGAATGTAAGTATTTATGGTTTTTTACTCCACGTATTCTTATTTATTACGGGTATACACTCGTGTAGCATAGGAAATTCATATATTTTTTTATTTTTTTATTACATTTATACTTATGTTACGTACAATTTTCTATTGTTTTATATACTTCTTATATCATCCTAATGACATGTACTTAAAATGTTTTTCTGAAACAAAAATAACGTTATTGTTTCTGATTGATAAAATATAATAATTGATTTTGAACATTGTTCACTTTTAAATACATATAAAAGCACATTTTATAAAAATTATTTCTTTTGTTCCATTATAATGAGCAGTCATGCAAAAATGTGTACAAATTGAATACTGAAATATATATTATAGCAAATTTTTTCATATACTTAGTAAAATATACCAAAAATTACTTTTTTGGTTAATTTATCATGTAGTATATAATAAAGGAAAATATTTAAATACGGTATGATATTTTTATGTATTTATATATATTTTAGGGATTAGTTGCTCTTGTAACGGGTGGTGCATCTGGATTAGGACTTGGTGTTGTACGGAGATTTGTAAAAAATGGTGCCAAGGTAGTTATTGCAGATTTGCCAATATCTAAAGGAAATGAAATTGCTAAAGAACTTGGGGAATCTACTGTTTTTACACCAATGGATGTAAGTACAAAAGATTTATCACCTATATGTATGTAACAAAAATTTATAACAATTAAAAGTACTTTTTTGTCAATTTGATCATCAAAGAAATATCAAAATAATTGCAATTAAATTATATTAATATAGTATACTTTTCCTTATAGTACATTTATTTTAGAATTGCTAATTTCTTATCAATACAAAACTCTATAATATTATTAATTTAAATATTACTATTATTGTTAATATTAATTTAACACTATTAGTAACCATTATAAATTGACATTAAAAGTTATTGGATTACTTTTTCATTTAATATTTTTTATCTGTGATTTTATATTATATATTTAACTTTTGTAAAATAAATTTCATTCTATATTTTTTTTTGCAGGTAACATCAGAAGATGATATAAACAATACTATTTAATAGCTTATGCTTACAAAATATATAATTTCAATAAAAATGTACCATACAGTATGGAAGAGTTTAATAAGATGTGTAATGTAAATATTGGTGGAACACTTAATGTTATTAGATTATGTCTACCACTCTTGCATAAGAACAGTGAAGGAGAGAATGGAGAACGTGGAGTAATAATTAATACAGCAAGTGTTGCAGCATTTGAAGGACAAATAGGTCAGATAGGCTATTCTGCTACCAAAGGAGCAATTGTTGGAATGACTGTACCAATGGCTCGCGAATTTGCTTCAGTTGGTGTTCGTGTTGTTACAATTGCACCTGGGTTATTTGATACACCTCTGCTCGGAGCTTTACCAAGCAAAGTGCGTACATTTTTAATGAAAACTGTACAATTTCCACAAAGATTGGGTCAACCCGATGAATATGCTCAGCTAGCACAACATATTGTTGAAAATAAATATCTGAATGGAGAAGTGATAAGATTAGATGGTGGTCTCAGAATGCAACCTTGAGTACAAAGTTCATCATGCAATTGAATGAAACCTCTTTTATAATTTTAATTTTAATTTTTTTACATGTATGTGGAATTGGGTAAAGGATTTATAGAACATGGATAGTTTATATAAAAATTATATAAATGTGCATAAAAATATATGAAAAATGAATAAACCGTGTAACTGTTTTACATGCAACACCATTATAATTCTCTTAGAATGTACACAAACAACTAAAACTTTTTATCTATCATAGGTATCGACAATTTTCTTTATTACCTTATGACTGTACATTAATGTCTTGTAAATAGGTTGCAAAAGTCGCAACACCTTTCTTTAAATAGTTCACTAGAGCATTATCTAGCAAAAAAGTTGTGTACATAATATTAACATAAAAATCATTTAGTTGTCCCATTATTCATTAGTCTTTCTTTCCAATAACCTCTGGAGATTTCCAAAATTCCAGTAAATACTGGAATTTATTTTGATGATTTTTCGGAAGAG